AAACATCCTCAAAGATCCATCTTATCCTGGATACCCTTTTTTTGAACTATTACCATCTGGCAGATGGTACAGAATAATAAAAACAAGGACAAATAGGCTGAAAAACAGCTTCTATCCCAGGGCAGTAGCTCTTTTGAATTCTGCTGTATGTGCAGTGTTGATGTGGTGTTGGGTGAAGGATGTGTGTTTGTGTTTATTTTCATGGTCATGGTCATGATGTGCACTGAAGATGGTGTTTGATTTCGTTGCACAAGGTGCAATGACAATAAAGTAAAGTAAAGTTATACCCAGAGATCTGTTCATCAAATCTCATTCCAAAAATAAATCATTTTCTCCTTCAAACATCAGATATTGTTAGTATGTCAGAAATCAATTTGAAATTGAATGTTGACCTTAATTTATTATTGATTGCAATCACTAATTTTGGTGATAATATTGTGAGCATTTTGAAAAGATGACAATTGACTCAGATTGGAAATGTTCCTTGTTCAAATCGGTGCAAATAATTATTCTAAAACAATAATTATTGTAAAAAATGTTTTGGGGAGTTTCTCTGTATCTTTCAAAAATAAATGGAATTACTCTCTTAATTCATCTATTAATTTTTATTTCAATCTTGCATAATATATAGCATCTAGCAATGTTTATCATGCCTCTTCCTTCTGCTTCAAAAACTGGGCTATTAGTTGTTATCCCAGGCTTCAGACTAGGGTGCATGAAGCCTTTTTGTTCCATGAATCATCTTAAGAGTCAGGTAATATAATAAAATAAATTAAAAATTAAAAATTCTTAAATCCTTGATTAGGATTTCAATTGTTAAGTTTCCACCTGCCTTAGACTGTAAATCAAACTAGATAACTCATTCATAATAAAAACTATATAGGTCCTTTGGAAGGATTCTGTAGCTGGACAAAAATACCAAATCTAGTCTAATTTGATGACTGTACAACCACTCATCATAATGCAAATATAAATATATATGAAGTCTTATATATAAAGTTGTGCATATTTTCACCTTGCATTTGGAAGGAAAAACAAAGAAGACATACTACAGGTTAGTATTCTCTAAGGAGCAAAATTTCTGTCTGCCATTAGCTACTCTGTGGAAACCCTTTTTGCATGTTTAATATATTAGTATTTTTTGATGCTGAGGAATGCTTAACATCTGGCAGACTCCTATTTGTTTTGTTTTCAGGCACTGATGAAAAAACAGTTTCTTCTTTGCTTACTTCACAGTAGAGACTGTATCTTGTGGTTCATTCTTTTATGAAAATTTGATTTTGTATTTGCAGGGTTTTTTTCATTTTTGAAACACTATAGAAAATAAACATTTTATCACACACACACACACACACACACACACACACACACACACACACACAC